GGCGACAGCGACAGCAACGGCGACAGCAACGGCGACGACGACGACGCGCACGCCTCAAAAGAGGGCTGCAGTGTGCGGGGTCGCGTGTACTTCGCACGTTACCTCTTCTATGCTCTGCTTGAGTACGCCTCCTGCGTGATGAGGAGCGGCTCAGCTCTAATAGACGGCCTGCAGCGACTACTTCTTCGGCTGCTGCGGGCCGCGGAGCTGGACTGCGGCCCGCTGCACCGGCTGCTGCTCCCCGGCATGATCACGGATCAGGTGCCCACGGCGATGGAGCTGCTGTCGATGGGTGGCGAGTACCGACAGCTGGGCGTCGACATGCTGCTGCGGCTGCGGGCGGACTCGATGGTCGTGCGGGTGCTTCTCACGGAGCGGAGGCCGCTGGACGCCGTGAGGTACATCTACGCCGCGAGCCAGCGCCCGCAGACCTCGGGCGAGCGGCTTCTCAGCCCGAGGGTGATGAACGATGTCCTGCAGTGCGCCCTGGAGGCGGTGCTGGACGAGGAGCGGCAGCGTGAGGGTGGCGGCGGCGGCGGCAGCCGGCGGAGGTCGTTGGAGTTTTTGACGGTGTTCGCGGCGTTCACAAACACCCTCCTGCAGCAACCCCCCGCGGAGCGGAGGCTGCCGTCGGACTACCACACCATGCGGGCAAAGTACACGCAGCTGCTTGCGGAGGGGCAAGGCGGCTGAGGCGCGTTCGCGTCGCCTTCGCCCCAAGCGGTTCCCCCCCGCTCCTCCTCTCGCTTGCTCTCTCTCTACTTTTCTCCACGGGGGTGTCATACTGTCACTTCTTCCCACTCTCTGCGATTGCGCTTCACGCGGTCGCTGCACACTATTCCTCTCCCGCCTTTTCCTCACTCACGCGTCTCTCTGCTTGCGTGCCGCGACGGCTGCCCTCAGCCAGCGCAGCAATCTCTTTTTTTTCCCGCACCATCGTCAGCGGCGCCGGGGGAGGGCCACGCGGAACTTCAGCGCACCATGCCGGCCTCGCTGGAGGAAACCTTCTCGCGCGTTCTTTCGGCGAAGGTCGCACGTGCCCAGCGCGTCTTTGGGGGCGACATCAACGAAACCTACCGGCTCGAGATGGCGGCGGCGGGGGTGGTGTACTTCTTGAAGCTGCAGCGCGGCACCACGGCGGCCTTCTATGCGGCGGAGTCGTTGGGACTGTCGCTTCTGGCGGCCGTTGCACGCACCCCGCGGGTGGTGCGGGTGGGTGAGGTGGACGGCGACGCCTACCTCGTCATGACGTGGATCCAGCGCGCCCCGGCTGGAGTGCGGCGGAACGCGGCGGATTTGGGCCGCATGGTCGCCATGGTGCACCGGCAGACGAGTCCGAACGGTCAGTTCGGCTCCTCCGTACCGCTGGTGTTGGCCGGCTGTGAGACGCCGGCCGGGTGGTCGACGGACTGGGCAACGTATTACATCGACAGCCTCCTGGCGCCGCGGGTGGAGTTGGCGCGGCGAAAAGGTTACTGGAGCGAGCGCCGTGAGGGCTTGTTTGCGCTCTTCAGCAGCCGCTTCCGCGCCTTTTACGCTGCGCGGAATTCCGCGCAGCCGAGTCTCCTGCATGGTGACCTGTGGGGCGGCAATGTCATGTACGGTGAGGCTGGGGAGCCGTACCTCATTGACCCGTCCTCGTTCTACGGTCACCGCGAGGTGGACCTCGCCATGACGCGGCTCTTTGGCGGATTTGGTAGCGACTTCTACGCGGCGTACGAGGCGGAGCTGCCGCTTGAGGCGGGGCACGCGTCCCGAGTGCCGTGGTACCAGGTGTTTCCACTGCTCTCCCACCTCAACCTCTTTGGCGAGGCGTACGGAGGCTCGCTAGACAGCGCCCTGGCGCACGTGGTATGATGCAGCTTGGCGTGTGTGTGTCTGCGTGCATTTTTGTTGACATGTTTATTTCATTTTTGCTGCTGCTGCTGCTGCTGCCGCATGTGGATGGGTCTGTCGCTGAAGTTATGCCCCTTCTTCTTCTTCGCTGTTTTTCTTTTCTTTTCTTTTTTCCCCTTCCACCCCCGAGTTTCTCTTAGCGCGGAAGTTGAAGGTGAGAGAAGTTCTTCTTTTTTTATTTTTATTGCTTTTCGGTTGTTTGTCTGTTTGCGCCCGGCGCGTCGGCCCCACAGCGAGGGATGTCGGAGGGCTCTGGCGCTCTTCCGGGGACGCGGCCCGCCTCCCGCACGCGGGCGCAGGCGCAGTCGGAGATGAGCGGCGGCGGCGGCGGCGGCCGGCCGGGCGACACGGCGGGCGGCACCTGCAGCCTCTCGGCGGCGTCGTCGAGCGCCTCCCCCACGCGCGTGACGGCGGTGGCGGCGTCGGCCTCCGCGGAGGCCCGGGCGGCGCTCGCCTTCGGCGACGGCTACCACCGCATCCTCGAGGCGATCGGCAACCCCGGCTACTACTCGATGAAGGCCCTCTTCTACGGCGAGGACGGGCCCCCCGGCGACACCATCCCCTCCATCACCGTCTCCTTCGAGCTCTTCGAGGCGGTGCAGAACCGCTTCGCCGCCACCAAGGCGACGCTGGAGTCCACGAAGGCGGAACTCCACGCACGCCACCAGCAGTACGCCGTTCTGGAGGGGCAACACGAGCAGCTGCAGGAGTCCTACAGCCTGCTGGAGATGCGGGCCAGCGAGCTGGAGCGGAAAAACACGCAGCTGCTGCAGGACGTTGCCAAGCAGGACGTCATGGCGGAGTTGCTGCGGCAGCAAATCACCCGGATGAAGTCAGAGGCGGAGATGATCGAGGATAAAATGGCAAAACGCGAGGAGGAACTGCAGGTGCTGCACAGCCGCGTCGCCGAGGGGCTTGTGTCGCTCTCGCAGAAGGAAACGATCATTGCCAACCTGCGGCGACAGCTTGGGTACGGTGGGCTCCTAAAACGTGACGGGGTCCTCGGCAGCGTGGGCGGCGAGGGCGACGAGTACAGCCCGGAGGCGCTGGAGCGCATCACCAACAGCGTCGAGGGCCGCTCCGCGGAGGCCCGCCTGCGGCTCTGCGTCGTGGAACTGGAGGCGCAGGTCCGCAGTGTGACGGAGGAGAAGAAGTACGTCATGCTGCGCCACACCATGTACCGCAAACACGTGCAAGACGTCACCGAGTCCTACGAGGCGCTCTGCATGTCGCGGGAGGACGCCGTGGGGTCGCACCGCTGCGAGTCCCCGCTGGGCTTCAGCGCCGCCGCCGCCGCCTCCTCAGCGGCCACTGGGGCACACCACACGACGCCCAGCAACGCCTCGGTGGCAAGCCCCTTGCATAGCGCCACGCAGCACCTCCTGAACGCCTCCAAGTCCGCAGCCCACGAGGGGCCCCAGCCCCCTGAACAGGCCGGCGAGGAACGGCGACCGAGCTGCGGCGACAGAGACGGCGACGGTGCCTTGGGCCAAGACGAGAGTATCAAGACGGAGCAGGCCTTCGAGGAAACGGCGGTGCCGCCCAAGTTTTCCGATTTGGACTCCCAAACCCGGCTCTCGGACTCCAGTTCGCACGGGGCCCCCGTGCCGCCGATGGCGCCGGCGGAGCTACAGAGCATGCAAGACAGCAGACTGTTGTCACCCTCGCAGTCGCACGCGGCAAACGTCGGCGAAGGCTCCACGTCCAAGGAGTCGGGGCGCTCGCGGGAGTCCAGGAAGAAGTCCCTGCGGCAGCCCGAAAAACCAGACTCGGCGGATCGCCTTTCCACCACCTCGCCGCTGCCGTCCCGCCTCAGTGGGCCGCAGGGGCTGGCGGCTTCCTATGAGCCGAGCCAGTGGGGCCCCACCGGCACGGTTACGACCGACACGGCCAACACGAAGGCGGTCGAGGTGCGGGAGCAGGGGACGCAGACGAGTTGGCGGTTGGGCAGGCAGTCCGCCAGTAGCGTGCAGTTGCCTCTGCACTCACCGGGTCAGGGGCGGCCGAGTGTGGCAAGCTCGCACAATCCAACCTCGCGGTCCACCTCGTCTGTCTTTGGGGCGGCGCCGCGGCCCGGGGAGGGGTCGCCCTCGCGCCTTTCCCAACTTGCCGCGCCTACGGAAAAAGGTGGGACGCCGCAGAGAGGAAGCTCCCTGGTTGGAGCTTTTGGCGTGATGCTTCCAACCTTCGAGCAGGAGCACCGTGAGGCGGATGAGGAGCTTAAAAACGAGTTCCCCGCCAGGCAGGCCTCGGAAGACCGCAGCCATTCTGGACGAGCTTCGCAAGAAAAGGGCGAAGTCGTTGAGCGGACGCGGTCTGCCACCAACCGCGCTGTGCGCTCCCTCGCCAGGAAGTACGTCGACCTACACGCGGCACTCCTCGACCTGGAGGAGCTTGTCGTCCGCTCAAAGGGAGGTGAGCCACCTGGTGGGACGAAGTCGACTCCGTTTTACGCGGACATTAACAACGAGAGCGCAGGCGCGCAGGCGGAGTACCTAAGCAGCGTTGTCGTGGCTGACACCCTGCTGTTGCTGCAGTTGCTCCACCGCCTGCAGCGGAGTAGGTCAGGCAGCGCGCAGCCGCTTCCGAACAGAGCCTCGGTTGGCGCACTCTCGTCGAATGCCCCCAGGCAAGCGTCTGACGTCCCCATTGGTGCCCAGGAGAAAGCCATGGACAGCGCACGCGACGCTACCTCTGCCCCTACAAGCATGGCGAAGCTGCGACCGACAGAGGTGGAAGCGGCGGGAACTTCTGCGGAGGCCGCGACCTCCGCAAGAAAGGTACAGCCGCGGAGGCCAGAGGGCCCCGCGGGGAGGGCCAAAACCAGCGAGAAGGCCAGTGCATCAGGGAAGATTGGCGCGGCAGAGAAGCTCGGCGCAACAGGGAAGCTTGGCGCGGCAGAGAAGCCCAGTGCATCAGGGAAGCTTGGCGCGGCAGAGAAGCCCAGTGCAACAGGGAAGCTTGGCGCGGCAGAGAAGCTCAGTGCGTCGCCGAGGGCGGACGTATCCTGGAAGTCGAGCGTTGCGGAGAGGGCCGCCGGTTCAAGCGAGGCGGTTGCTGTTGGAAGTCTTCCCGCGCCGGCGGGAGGCGGCGTCACAGGCACCGCTGGATCGGATGCCCGGAAGGGCGACAAAGGCGGTCCCATGCATGCTGCCCACGCTGCTGCCAAAGGGGACCTCCGCGCGTCGGCGAAGAAGTGGCTGCAGGTGATGCTGCACGTGTAGACAGCGGCCGCCTCGCGCCGCAGA